CCCTCTTCCTCCGATATCCTCCTCCTCTACTCCAACCGCTTCCTCCTCCCCCCCCAACTTTTCCCCCACCCCATCCCCCTCCTCCTCTACTGCCCTCTCCCATCCTGCAGTGCTCCTACATCACAGACTCGGCCATCCCAACTTCGCCGCACTTCGCTCCACCGTCACCTCTCGCCTCCTTAACAGCCTTCCTCCCACCTTACCTCCCCTCCCCTCCTCCCCTGCTCCCCCATGCCCATCATGCATTCATGGCAAGCTCAAACAGTCCCCCCATCACAGTCATCCCACCTTCGCTCCCGCCCCCATTGACCTTGTTCACATGGATCTCTGGGGCCCTTATCCCATCCGCTCCCGTCAGGGGCACAGATACATGCTCGTACTCGTCGACGACCACAGTCGGTACTTCACCGTCTTCTTTCTTCACACGAAAGACCAGGTGCCGGCTGTGGTCATCAACTGGGCTGAGCAGTGCCGCAACCACTTCAAACGTCCCATAGGCCGCCTTCACTCTGACGGTGGGGGTGAGTTCATCAATCAAACTCTCTCCACTTACTGCAAAACATACGGCATTCAGCAGACCTCCACCCTTCCCCACTCCCCTCAGCAAAACGGCATCGCTGAGAGTCGCATCCGTGAGATCACCAAGATTGCGCGCTGCCTCATTGCTCACGCCTCCACCCCTCCCTCCCTCTGGAGCTCTGCCCTCATTCATGCCACCCTCCTCCTCAATCTCCGCTCCCACCCTCAGCATCCCTCCTCCTCCCCCACAGAACTCTGGTCCAAGGCCAAGCCTGACGCCGCAGGCCTTCGTGTTTGGGGCTGCAAGGCGTTCGTCGTCATTCCACCGGCCGACCGCTCCCGCGCTGCTGGCAAGCTTGCTCCTCGCGCTCTGGAGTGCGTCTACCTTGGGCACAATCGTGATTCCCCAGGCTACCTATTCCTCCACCCTCCCACCAATCGCCTCATCCGCAGCATTGACGTCGTCTTCGACGAGTCCACTCCCTACTACTCCACCCCTCCTCCTGACCCCCTCCCTCCTCCCACTCGCCCCCTCGCTTGGACCGACACCGTCCTCCCGCCTCTTATCCCTCCAGCGCCTCTCCTCCCACCTGTCGCCGCCCCACTCCCGCCTTCCTCCTCTGCCGACGTCTACGACCCTGCCGCACCCGCCTCCCCCGCTCACTCAGCTGCACCCCCTCCCCCCTCTCCCTCCTCTCATTCTCCTCCTTTCCAGCAGCCGGATCAGCAACAGCAGGGGCAGCAGCAGCAGCAGCAGCCGGATCAGCAACAGAAGGGGCAGCAGCAGCACCAGCAGCAGCAGCAGCAGCAGCAGCAGCAGCAGCAGCAGCAGCAGCAGCATCAGCAGCAGCAGCAGCAGCAGCACAGTCAGCAGCAGCAGCACGGTCCGCAGCAGCCGCAACAATAAGGGCAGCAGCTTCAGCAACACCAGCAGCAGCAGCGGCGCCGTGCCACTTCCCGCTCCTCCCCCTTCCTCCTCCCTTACATCCATACCCGCTCGGTGGACAAAATCCTTGGGGCTCCTCCTCCTGCCTCCATTCAGCTCTTTGAGGACTCCCATGAGGAGTTCCTCAACATTCGGGAGCACACTCCGTTCCTTGCCTCCCTCTACCTTGACTTCCTGGGCTCTCCTGTCCTTGGCGCCACCACCACCCCCACCATCTTCACTCCCTCCACCTTCTAGGAAGCCATCAGTTGCCCTGACGCGGATAAATGGATAGCGACGATCTTCCTGGAGTGTGAGGCATTCATTCGCAACGACTCCTTTGTCGATGTCCCCCTCCCAGCCGGCGCCAACCTCGTTGACGGCAAATGGGTCTTTCGGGTGAAGCAGCTGCCGGGCGAGGAATCGGTGTACAAGGCCCGCTACTGCGCCAAGGGGTTCACGCAGACTTGGGCCGAGGACTACTGGTTCACCTACGCCCCCACCGCCAAACCACCCACTCTTCGCGCCGCCCTCGACATTGGCGCACGTGACAACATGGAGATCGATTCCATGGACGTCTCCAATGCGTTCCTGCAGGGCGACCTGCACGAGCGCATTTTCCTCCGGCGACCCCCCGGGTTCCACGCAGCCTTCCCTGAGAACACTGTCTGGCAGCTGCGTCGCCCTGTCTACGGCTTGAAGCAGGCACCGCGTGAGTGGCATGCGAAGCTGGCTGCCACCTTAGTGTCTCTCGGCTTCTCTGCTTCCCACTCCGACGCCAGCCTCTTCATCCGCTCCTCCCCCCGCCGCTTCTTCATTCTGGTGTATGTGGACGACATGATCCTGCTCTCTGACACCAGGGCCGACATGGAGCAGATGAAGCTGTCCCTGCAGCAGCGTCTTAAGTGCAAAGACCTTGGCGCCCTCATTCACTACCTGGGCATGGCCATCACGCGCAACCGCCCTGCTCGCACCATCACCCTCTCACAGTCCCACTACATCGGCCAGGTCTTGGAGAAGTTCGACATGGCGCAGGCCAAGCCTGTCTCCACCCCCCTCCCTTTCGGTCACCAACTCGCACCAACCTCCTCCCCCACCTCCTCCCCCCACCCCTATGCCGAGCTCGTTGGGTCCCTGATGTACGCGATGATGTGCACCCGCCCCGACCTCGCCTACCCCATCAGCGTGCTCGCCCGCTTTGTCGGTACCGGTCGTCACACTGAGGAGCACTGGAAAGCTGCCAAGCGGGTCCTCCGCTACCTTCGTGGGACCAAGGACCTTGCCCTCACCCTTGGCGGCGCTTCCCCTCCTCTTCTCTCGGGCTTCAGTGACTCCTCTTGGGCTGACACGCAGCCGGACCGCCGCTCCTCCCAGGGCTACGGCTTCACCCTTGGCAGCGGCCTCATCAGCTGGCGCTCCACCCGCTCCTCCGCCATCTCTCTCTCCACCTGCGAGGCCGAGCTCTACGCTGGCACCATGGCCGCCCAGGAGTCCCGCTGGCTCTGCTTCCTTCTTGCAGAGCTTGGCGCCCCCCAGACGTGCCCCACCCTCTGGTGCGACAATGCCAGCACCATCCATCTCACTCAGGACCTCGTCTATCACGCCCGCTCCAAACACATCGAGCTCCGCTACTTTTTCATTCGCGAGCTTGTCCAGAAGGGCCTTACTGCCGTTCGCAAGATTGCGACCGAGGCCAACTTGGCCGACATCTTCACTAAGGCCCTCCTTCGCCCTGCACACTCTGCTTTCCTCCGCCTCATTGACCTCGCTCGCCCGGGCGCCCCTTGATTCAGGGGTTGTTCTCTTCTTGTGTTAGCATGCTAAGGGGTTGTGTTAAAATATATGTTGTGTAGCATGCCAACACATGTGACTGTACACCAATTGTGGTGTACAGTTGGGTTGGGACTACACCCAACTTTGGGTGTAGTCTTCCACTTTGGGGTGCCAATCCACCCAATTGTGGTGGAGCCCCCAAATGCAACCCACTTGGCTTATGGGTGCCTCACTTCCCACAAGTGAGGTCATCTCAAGCCAAGTGGGCCTAGGGTTGCCTCACTTCTACAAAGTGTGGGCAACCCAACCCACTTGACCTTTGGTTGCCTCACTCCCCCAAGTGAGGTCAACCCAACCTATGGTCACCTTCACCTTCCTCTTCCAAGTCTCTCTTCTAACTATGTATGCTAGGTTTTCTCCTCTAATGAAGTTACTTGTTCAATTTGCTACTTTCACAATAGGTACAAGCATAGGCACGAGCATAGGTACGAGCATAGGAAGGAGCATAGGTACGAGCATAGGCAGGAGCATAGGTGCGAGCATAGGCAGGAGCATAGATACGAGCACAGGCACGAGCATAGGTATGAGCATAGGTACGAGCATAGGCACAAGCATAGGTACGACGAGCACAGGCACGAGCATAGGTACGAGCATAGGCACAAGCATAGGCACGAGCATAGGCACGAACACAGGTACGAGCATAGGTACGAGCATAGGCACAAACATAGGTACGAGCATAGGCACGAGCATAGGTACGAGCATAGGAAGGAGCATAGGTACGAGCATAGGCAGGAGCATAGGTACGAGCATAGGCAGGAGCATAGGTACGAGCATAGGCAGGAGCATAGGTGCGAGCATAGGCAGGAGCATAGATACGAGCACAGGCACGAGCATAGGTACAAGCATAGGTACGAGCATAGGCACGAGCATAGGCACGAGCATAGGTACGAGCATAGGTAGGAGTATAGGTACGAGCATAGGTACGAGCATAGGCAGGAGCATAGGTACGAGCATAGGCAGGAGCATAGGTGCGAGCATAGGCAGGAGCATAGATACGAGCACAGGCACGAGCATAGGTACGAGCATAGGTACGAGCATAGGTACGATGAGCACAGGCACGAGCATAGGTACGAGCATAGGCACAAGCATAGGTACGAGCATAGGCACGAACATAGGTACGAGCATAGGTACGAGCATAGGCACGAACATAGGTACGAGCATAGGCACGAGCATAGGTACGAGCATAGGAAGGAGCATAGGTACGAGCATAGGCAGGAGCATAGGTACGAGCATAGGTACGAGCATAGGCACGAACATAGGTACGAGCATAGGCACGAGCATAGGTACGAGCATAGGAAGGAGCATAGGTACGAGCATAGGCAGGAGCATAGGTGCGAGCATAGGCAGGAGCATAGGTACGAGCATAGGTACGAGCATAGGCACGAACATAGGTACGAGCATAGGCACGAGCATAGGTACGAGCATAGGAAGGAGCATAGGTACGAGCATAGGCAGGAGCATAGGTACGAGCATAGGCACGAACATAGGTACGAGCATAGGCAGGAGCATGGCCAGTCATGCTCTGTGTGCTGGTCTTTCCTTATTCAAACCACCTCCACGCAGTGCCAATCGCCCTCTGTGTGCTGCTCTCCCTCTCTGTGTGCCTCAAACCCCCACCACGCCACGCACCCTCTACATGCTGTTCCGCGAGGTAGAAGGAGCAGTGGATCCCATGCTTGGTGCGCATCACCTCTCCCTGTGCAGCAATGGCGCACGTAAACCCTCAACGCAACCCCCTGCTATCAAGATCCTCATCTTGCCGTGCTACCACCCACTCACCCTCTGCATGCTGCTCCGCGAGGTAGAAGGAGTAGTGGATCTCATGCTTGGTGCGCATCACCTCCCTCTGCAGCCGATGCACCTCCTTCAACAGCGGTTCGATTTGGTCTGCTCGCATGCAGACACACAAGCAAGCATAGAGAAGAGAGGCGGGGCCCGTGTGAGTGAGAGGCGCACAGTAACAAGGAATGTCATCTCATGCTTGGTGCGCATCACCTCCTGCTGCAGCCGGTGCACCTCCTTCAACAGTGGTTCAATCTGGTCTGTTTGCACGCAGATGCACGAGCAAGCAGAGGCTGGGCAAGCACAGAGTATAGAGGTAGCACATAAGCAAGGGTATGCACAGAGGCAGAGACAAAGCCTTCTGTTCAGGTATACAGATGAAAAGGCATTTGGAATAAATTGATCCATGAAGACATCGTCCGTGTAGAGAAAACAGCCATATGTTGTGAATGACATTGGAGAAAGGAGTGAGGAGGAGAAGGTGCATGTGGCGTTGGGCAGAGAGTGAAGGGCCACATACGAGGCTGATGCTTGAGGAAGGGTCTCCCAGCATTTCACACGAATAAAGAGCCAGAATCACAGATATACGGGTTAACAAGATTTTTGGCGTACTACTCTTTGTTGTGTCCCATTGTTTGCTTACCGCTCTTGGCCACGTGTCCCATTTCTTATTGCTGGCTTACCATTCTCTGCCACGTGTCCAATTCCCCTTGTCGCCTTACCATTCTTTGCCACGTGTTCAGTGGTGATTGGGTGGCCGTTCTCCACATCGAACGCCACGGATTCATGCACGGCAGAGTCCGTCGTAAAGCAGAACTTGAAGAATCCGTCTACTGCGGCGGTGACCATGAAATTGTCGTCCGTCCTCGCCTCTATCTTCCGCAGCACATGGCCCCTGGGGTCCTCCACCTGGTGATTGATTACGTTCACGGAGGAGGCAGGGAAGGGGGGAAGGGAGGGGAAGAGAAGGGGGTAAAGGTGGGGGGGGGGAGGTTGGGGTGGGTTGTTGAAGCAGACCTTGAAGAATCCGTCAACGGCGGCGGTGACCATGAAGCTGTCGTCCGTCCTGGCCTCTATCTTCCGCAGCACGTGCTCCCTTGGGTCCTCCACCTGGTGGTTGTATTCACAAGCGAGGTGGTTCAAGTCACAAGGGAGGGGGGGAGAAGCAGAACTTGAAGAAGCCATCAACGGCAGCGGTGACCATGAAGCTGTCGTCCGTCCTCGCCTCTATCTTCCGTAGCACGTGGCCTCTTGAGTCATCCACCTGGTGGTTGAACTCACGGGGGGAAGCGGAGAGGGGGGGAGGGGGGAAGGAGCGGGTGGAGTGGGGGCGCGAACAGAGGACGAAGAATCTGAATCTGTCGTCCATCCTCGCCTCCACCTTCCGCACCACGTGGCCCACGGGATCCTTCACCTGGTGTTTAGATTTATGGGGGAACAGGGTGACGGGAGGAGGGGGGAACGGTGGGGGGGTGGGGGTGTGAACAGAGGACGAAGAATCTGAAGTTGATCTCCGTCCTCGCCTCCACCTTGCGCACCTCGTGGCCCCTGGGATCCTCCACCTGGTGGTTTGAGCACACGCGGAGCAGCGAGGATACGTGCCTCACAGTGAGTGAACATGAAATTGTCGTCCTTCCTCGCCTCTACCATCTGCACCACGTGGGCCATGGGGTCCTCCACGTGGTGGTTGACTTCCGGGGGAGGGTTGAGGGGGGAAATGGGGGACAGCCGAAGGGTGGGAAGGTGGGTGAACAACAATATTTGGTGCTCGCATCGCATCCACCTTCCGCACCATGTGCCCCGTGGGGTCTTCCACGTGGACGTTCATTTCACGGGAGCCTGTGCGAGGTGGGGAGGAGGGGGGGAGGGCGGGCTGGAATGGGGGTGAGCAGAGGAAAGAAGAATCTGAAGTTATCCTCTGATTCGCATCCACCTTGCGCACCACGTGGCCCCTGGGATCCTCCACCTGGCGATTTGGCGCGTGAACCTAAGACCAGGGAGGGGATTAAACACCAAAGGTCTCCCACCTGACGCTTGTGCGCACGACGAGCGATTTTAGGGCATCGTCTATAAGCAAGGGTTCGACCCTTGTTTCGAGGAGTGAGGCCTCGTCTACGAGCTGTGGCGAACCGGGCTGAGAAACCGTTTCGCTTCGCGAACTGATGAGGCAGCACTTCGTGGCTGCTTACCATTAGATCGATTTTCGCCTGCTCGCCTCCCCCCCAGTTGTAATCCGATTTGATCACGACGAACGACACGTGGACCGTCTCGCCGCCTTTCGGCACGAAATGCTGGAAGCACTCGCGCTTCAGCAGCGTGAAGACCAGCGCTGACGTGGACGATGCTGATAGGAGAACGACGAGCGCAAAGAGAAGCCACGAAAATCGGGCCATGGCTTTGGCTAGACTGCTAAGAAACGACTAGCTTGGGATCTTAGAATCTACTGAAATCTCGGATTCAGTGGAACCTAGAATCTACTGTAACCCTACAGCACTGCGTTGTGGTTCCCTTGGGATTGGCTCGCGAGTGAATCTGTGAGCCAGGCTTCACAGATTTGGAAGGAAGAAATATTGGTAAATCGACTGACGCGATTGGTTCGCGAGGCTGTGCAGTGCCGAAAAGAAGTTGTTGGACGAGTGTCGCGTAATTGGATTCACTTCGCAAGAATTACCAGACTTGTTGGTCACACGACATTCGCACGATGTTGTGCGCTCTGCGAAAGTGTGAAGGAATCGCCACCACAAGAAGCAAAACGAGGACGGATATTGCCTCCGCATATACCTTCGCTCTCGTCTCATGCTGTCGATTCTCAGACGTATTCCCAGCGAGCTGCGATTAAAACAGTGGTTAAAAAAATAGATGCTCGAACATATTCTCAGAAGAAGTTCCGCTCTCGTCTCCCGCTGTTGAGCACACTTCCACATCCACGGAGCACCAAGTAGGTTCCATTGGTGCCATGTATCGATACCTACGTGGCTGCGATCTTGTGTAAAGGTAGCTCTTTTGACTCGACTCTGTTAGGGTTGGTTCGCCCAACCACGGAACCTACGGTGAAATGCGGAATGGCGGCGGAATGGAGCTCGTGGGAGATTCTAGAGTGATTTCGGTAGAAATCGGCCTACGGTGGACGTTGGAAGCTAAGGCGTGAAAAGCGGGAGAGAAATCGGGAAGAAACTGGAGAAATGAAGGAAGAAGAGTGGAGAAGAATCGAGAATGAGTTCGACGGGGGAAAATGTGGTTCGAGACCAAGGCGTGTTCGAGAAATTTCCAGATTCGGGCTCAAGGAGTGTTCGGTGAATTCGGTTCGGTTGCGTGTGCGACTCGGGGTGAAACGAGGCGCACGCGGTTACTTGGGAAACAAGTGAAGTTACGAATCGCATTTTGTGACTTGCTTGACTATAAAACTGCTTGTACTCATTCTGGAAAACACAACATTGGGCAACATTGAGATTCTGAAAATTGCTGAAGTGCGTATTGACAACTTCAAGCAGAGCTGCGCATATCATTGGATTCGTGAGATCGTGGAGAACACGATAAGCAATAGCAAGTAGACTATTGCCGACTAAGGTGTTTACGATCCTAAGAGACTCAGAAGGTCCACTCTCGTCTCCTGCTGTCCATCGGTTCCCCCTTCCCCCACTTCGCTGAAACCCCCCTTACCCCGTTGCGCTGAAACTCCCCTTCCCCCATTGCGCTGAAACTCTCCTTCCCCCACTGCGCTGAAACTCCCCTTCCCCCACTGCGCTGAAACTCCCCTTCCCTCAAATCTCCACTCTCCTTCCCTCACATTCCATTCCCTTTCTCCCACTGTTCCACACCCCTTCCCCCAGTACATCACTGCCCGTGCCCCCCTGCCTGCCTCCACTGCCCGTCCCCCGCTGCCCTCCCCCTACTGTTCCCTTTCGACCTCATCCAACTTCTCCCTACCACATTCGCCATGCCTCATTCTCCCTACCACATTCGCCATGCCTCATTCTCCCTACCACATTCGCCATACCTCATTCTCCCTACCACATTTGCCATACCTCATTCTCCCTACCACATTCGCCATACCGCATTCAACCCAAACCACATTCGCCATACCTCATTCTCCCTACCACATTCGCCATACCTCATTCTCCATGGCTCTTTCCCCATTCCTCACTCTTTCGCCATACCTCATTCTCCCTGCCACATTCTCCCCACTGCTTATGCCAGTGTTTTGAGTAGCAACACGATTTCCGAACCTCTGACTTTGGCCTGGACGTTTCCATCCAAGGCTGAAGAAAATGTGAGCTCCCTTTCCCTCGTTTGCTTCTTGCCACTCATTTGTGTGAGGAACATCTGTTAGTTTCGTTGTGTCATCTTTCCTTGTACGCACAGGCTTTGTTGTCTTTGAACTTCCAAGTTGGAACCTCCATCGAACCCCCCACCCACCGTGCAGCAGCCCACCCATCCACCGTCACCTCCCTTTAATCCTCCCGTGATGGAAAGCATTTTAGAAGTAGGGTGAATAGCCATAGCCATCACAATGTAGCAGTGGTGTGATATCAGTGGTTGGTGGCCATTCCCCTTGAGAGGCTCTCAAGAGGCTCTTGAGACACACCCGGATTCCTATGGACACCCCATCATCACGTTTCCCTTTCTTCCATTGCGTTTTCCTTCCGACCTTTCAATGGCAAACGCAGAGCAGAAGTCAATAGTAGCTACAGCCCTCCCTCTGAGTCTTTGTCAGGGTTTGCCAACAAAAAGTCTGGCTTCGCATCATGGCAAGCAGCACACAGCATCAAAAGGAGCTCAATCTGAAGGTATTAGGACTTTCTGAGGCTCTTAAAAAATCATGGCAAGCTGTTTTCATGTGTTTTCGTGAGGAATCCTATTTCTAAGTCTGCTAGTACACCCTCGTTCTGCTAGTACACCTTCGTTCTGCTAGTACACCCCCTCTCAGGCCAGTCGCCAATGCTGCTTGGTTCTTACCTTATTGTCTTTCCTTGCGACTAACCCTCCGTAGGTGCAGGAACTGCAGGTGGCTTGTGCTGAGCTCTCCTCTTTGCCCTCTGGGCGGGTAAGCCCTCTTGTCCCGTTCTGCTGCAGCTGTGCAGAGACTAAGCAATGCAAATTAATCATGGAATGGGTCAGGATTTCTGTTCTTGCTGATTGGATTTCCTCTAGTCCCCGCTACTATCTGCAAACTGCTCATCAGAAAGGTGGTGCTATGTTCTTGCAGACCGCATATCAGAAGCGTGGTGCAATTTTTTTCCTCACCGACAGCAGTACGCTCAAGGAGAAGAAGCAAGGTAGGGTGGGAAGAATTTGTGCTGGAGGCTTTACCTTTTCCGTTTTTCCTCTTTTGGCCTCCTTTTAGTTTCCAGGGTTGTCCTTTGTTCTCGTCCTTTGTAACTATTGATATGCTCCTCCCCCTTTGTTTACCACAATTCTCCCACACCCCTTGCAGAGGAGCTCTCAAGACTGACCACAGCTAATGCCAAATAAGCTCGAGCCAGCGAAGCTGGAGGTGCGTTAGTTTTACATATACCCACGTACGGTACCATACCAGTTTGACATGCCGAATAAGCATGAGCATTGAATCCACATCACCAGCTTTAAGAATGCCATTAGGCTGTTGATGGAAACAAGTCAGTGATGCTGTACCATAGATGACTGTTACACGAATGTGGCAAAAGCTTTTCCATGTGACATACCGGTACCACATAAAGGTATCTTTCTGTCTATGGTATGGCTCATGAAATCCGGCTCTCTAGTCCCAAACCCCACATATTCTAGTGCCATTCTGAGCTCCATTATTCCCCAAAAATACAAAAGCATAAATGACCTATCTATACTCTTACAACATGCACTGTACACCATAAACATCACATCATTTCAGCAATATTACTTCCAGAGCCTACAGCCAGGCAGGGGTGCAGGCAACGGCCCCTCTCTTGCTGGTAACCAGAACGTCAAATATAACCAGAGTGTTGGTGCTCTTCAACTGATGCACCTCCACTCAAAACCACCTTACTGTGGGGCAGGGGTGCAAGCAATGGCCTCCCTCTTGCTGGTAACCTGCACGTCAAACGTGAGCAGAGTGTTGGTGCTCCTCTGCTGATGCACCTCCACCGCGATCACATTCGCCCCCTGCTGCAGCCACCCGCCCGACAGAACGGACGGCACCCACCGCCACACATAGCCGCCCGTGGCGTTGGTGGCCGGCGTGACCGGGCCCCATGAGGGGGGCGGCATCTGAAAGCGGTACGCCTCGACGCCGTTCAGGTACACCACCTGGTGAGGGAGTAAAGAGAAGGAGAGCAGTGGGAAAGAGTGAGGCACTGATGTTGAAGTCCCAGTGGTGGTGGTGGGGGTGACCGGGCCCCATGAGGGGGGCGGCATCTGGAAGCGGTACGCCTCGACGCCGTTCAGGTACACCACCTGGTGAGGGAGTAAAGAGAAGGAGAGCAGTGGGAAAGAGTGAGGCACTGATGTTGAAGTCCCAGTGGTGGTGGTGGGGGTGACCGGGCCCCATGAGGGGGGCGGCATCTGGAAGCGGTACGCCTCGACGCCGTTCAGGTACACCACCTGGTGAGGGAGTAAAGAGAAGGAGAGCAGTGGGAAAGAGTGAGGCACTGATGTTGAAGTCCCAGTGGTGGTGGTGGGGGTGACCGGGCCCCATGAGGGGGGCGGCATCTGGAAGCGGTATGGCTCGACGCCATTCAGATACACCACCTGGTGAGGGAGTAAAGAGAAGTGGGAAAGAGTGAGGCACTGATGTTGAAGTCCCAGTGGTGGTGGTGGGGGTGACCGGGCCCCATGAGGGGGGCGGCATCTGGAAGCGGTATGGCTCGACGCCATTCAGATACACCACCTGGTGAGGGAGTAAAGAGAAGGAGAGCAGTGGGAAAGAGTGAGGCACTGATGTTGAAGTCCCAGTGGTGGTGGGGAGTTTTTGAGAAATCTCAAATACGCCCTGCGACCGGGCCCCATGAGGCAGGCAGCATCTGGAAGCGGTATGCCAGGTACAGCACCTGGTAAGAGGGGGGGGGTGGAGGAGGGGAAAATGTGGGAAAATGAAGAAGCTTTGAGAAGAGTGAGGCACAGGGGCCCACACACGAGGCACAGTGGCAGCGGTGGGCGGCGTCTGGAAGGAAGCGATATGCCGCGACGCCGTTCAGGTACAGCACCTGGTGAGGAGGGATGGAGAGACGAATAATGTTGGGCAACAGTGCGGCACTGGTGACAGGGGCCCACACACGAGGCACAGTGGCAGTTGCAGTGGCAGTGGCAGGCGGCACTAAAACGTATACTAAACCTGAAACCCTAGCACAGCTGAAAGTACACCCCTGCACCCTGATGCGAGCACTGATGCGAGCACTGATGCGGGCACTGATGCGAGCACTGATGCGAGCACTGATGCGAGAACTGATGCGAGCACTGATGCGAGCACTGATGCGAGCGCTGATGCGAGCACTGATGCGAGCACTGATGCGAGCGCTGATGCGAGCACTGATGCGAGCACTGATGCGAGAACTGATGCGAGCACTGATGCGAGCACTGATGCGAGCGCTGATGCGAGCACTGATGCAAGCACTGATGCGAGCACTGATGCAAGCACTGATGCGAGCACTGATGCAAGCACTGATGCGAGCACTGATGCAAGCACTGATGCGAGCACTGATGCACCTGATGCAAGCACTGATGCGAGCACTGATGCAAGCACTGATGCGAGCACTGATGCAAGCACTGATGCGAGCACTGATGCAAGCACTGATGCGAGCACTGATGCAAGCACTGATGCGAGCACTGATGCAAGCACTGATGCGAGCACTGATGCAAGCACTGATGCGAGCACTGATGCAAGCACTGATGCGAGCACTGATGCAAGCACTGATGCGAGCACTGATGCAAGCACTGATGCGAGCACTGATGCAAGCACTGATGCGAGCACTGATGCAAGCACTGATGCGAGCACTGATGCAAGCACTGATGCGAGCACTGATGCAAGCACTGATGCGAGCACTGATGCAAGCACTGATGCGAGCACTGATGCAAGCACTGATGCGAGCACTGATGCAAGCACTGATGCGAGCACTGATGCAAGCACTGATGCGAGCACTGATGCAAGCACTGATGCGAGCACTGATGCAAGCACTGATGCGAGCACTGATGCAAGCACTGATGCGAGCACTGATGCAAGCACTGATGCGAGCACTGATGCAAGCACTGATGCGAGCACTGATGCAAGCACTGATGCGAGCACTGATGCAAGCACTGATGCGAGCACTGATGCAAGCACTGATGCGAGCACTGATGCAAGCACTGATGCGAGCACTGATGCAAGCACTGATGCGAGCACTGATGCAAGCACTGATGCGAGCACTGATGCAAGCACTGATGCGAGCACTGATGCAAGCACTGATGCGAGCACTGATGCAAGCACTGATGCGAGCACTGATGCAAGCACTGATGCGAGCACTGATGCAAGCACTGATGCGAGCACTGATGCAAGCACTGATGCGAGCACTGATGCAAGCACTGATGCGAGCACTGATGCAAGCACTGATGCGAGCACTGATGCAAGCACTGATGCAAGCACTGATGCAAGCACTGATGCAAGCACTGATGCGAGCACTGATGCAAGCACTGATGCGAGCACTGATGCAAGCACTGATGCGAGCACTGATGCAAGCACTGATGCGAGCACTGATGCAAGCACTGATGCAAGCACTGATGCAAGCACTGATGCAAGCACTGATGCAAGCACTGATGCAAGCACTGATGCAAGCACTGATGCGAGCACTCACAGCGCCATCAGCGATGTTGAAGGAGACGGTGAGGGCCACGTGGCAGGCAGCATCGGTGACAGTGAAGGCGCGGCGGAAGTAGTGTGCCACACGGGAGCCACTGGTGGTGCTGTTGAGGGTGAGGTTGGTGCCAGCTCTGTTGTTGCCCGCTGCTAGGGGCGCGGCGCCTGGGTGGTGGGGATGGGGAAAGGGGAGGGGAGGAAGGAAGCATAGTGAGGCATGTGGCAGGCAGCATCGGTGACAGTGAAGGCGCGGCGGAAATAGTGCGCCACACGTGAGCCGCTGGTGGTGCTGTTGAGGGTGAGGTTGGTGCCCGCCCTGTTGTTGCCCGCTGCTAGGGGCGCGGGGCCTGGGTGGTGGGGAAAGGGGAAGGGAGCGGGGAAAGGGGAGGAAAGGGGTGAAGAAGTGATGGGGGTGCTGCTGGTACTGCTGGTGCTGTTGAGCGTGAGGTTGGTGCCCGCCCTGTTGCCCGCTGCTAGGGACGCGGGGCCTGGGTGGAGAGGGGGGGGGGAGGGCAGGAAGGAAGAAGTGAGGGCCACGTGGCAGGCAGCCAGGCAGCATCGGTGAGAGTGAAGGCGCAGTGGAAGTAGTGTGCCGTGCGGGCCGGGCAGTGGTGGTGGAGGTGCTAGGGGTGGTGGGATCGGTGGTGGTGCTGTTGAGGGTGAGGCTGGTGGGGCACGCTGCCCTGCTGCTCTAAGACGCACCTTTGAGGTATGCAGGGTCATCAAATGAGGGGAGGAACTTTTTTTGAGGCGCCTCAAAAATCGTCTCATGACTCGCGGTTTTGAGGCGCCTAAAAAATGGTACCAGGTGTCAGGGGGTAAAGGCAGGGAGTGAGGGAAGGGCAGTCGGCATGTATCGTTCTAGTCTCTGAGACGCACCTTTGAGCCATGCAGAGTCATCAAAGGAGGGCAGGAACCAGGTGTCAGGGTTGGGCGGTGGCAGCGAGGCGTCGTTGTAGGCCCATATGGACCCTTGCTGCATGCAGGGAGGGAGGGAGGGAGGAAGAAAGGGAGGGAGGGAGGGAGGGAGGGAGGGAGGGAGGGAGGGAGGGAGGGAGGGAGGGAGGGAGGGAGGGAGGGAGGGAGGGAGGGGAGGGAGGGGGGGAGGGGGGGAGGGAGGGAGGGAGGGAGGGAGGGAGGGAGGGAGGGAGGGAGGGAGGGAGGGAGGGAGGGAGGGAGGGAGGGAGGGAGGGAGGGAGGGAGGGAGGGAGGGGGGGAGGGGGGGAGGGAGGGAGGGAGGGGGGGGGGGGGAGGAGGGAGGGAGGGAGGGAGGGAGGGAGGGAGGGAGGGAGGGAGGGAGGGAGGGAGGGAGGGAGGGAGGGAGGGAGGGAGGGAGGGAAGGTGGGGAGGGAGGGAAGGTGGGGAGGGAGGGAAGGTGGGGAGAGGAAGGGAGAGAGGGGGAGGGGAAGAGGCGGGAAGGGAGAGGGAAAGAAGTTGGGTTGGAAAGCGGAGGGAGTGTGAGAAGTAGCAGGGAGATGGTGCATGGCACATCGCATCTCACCGCAAGCAGCAGAGTGTCAGCCGGGGGTGTGCGCACACACGCTGAAGGAGAGCCTTCGAGGGCGGAACAGGGGCGCATGGCATGGCGTATGGCACATGGCACAAGCCAGTTGATCCTAAGTTTGTGAGCATCTCACCGCAAGCAGCAGAGTGTCAGCTGGGGGTGTGCGGACACAGGCAGCAGGCGAGCCTTCGAGGGCGGAACAGGGGCGCATGACGTGGCGGGTGAGCTCGAGATCGAAGAGGGCATCGCTGGACCAGCGCGACTGATGCAGCTGCACTCCCACCCAGTTGGTGCCGGGCTGAGATGGGAGGCACAGCAGGAAGAGAGGGTGTGGGGCATGTGGGGAGGGAGCAGGGGCGCATGGCATGGTGAGGGCATCACTGGACCAGCGCGATTGGTGCAGCTGCTCTCCCACCCAGTTGGTTCCGGGCTGGTGGTGGGGAGAGGGGGAGTATGGGAGGGAGAGTAGGCAACGGATGGGTATGGAGCATTCGCATGGAAAAGGTTGGACTAGCGCGACTGAAGCAGCTGCTCTCCCACCCAGTTGGTGCCCGGCCGATGGGGGGAAGAGAAGTATGTGAGGGAGAGGGTGCAAGGGACGTGCATCCGGGCATTGGCGAGGTCAAATGCTTTGGCTGCTGTGACTGGTGCAGCTGCACACCCACCCATTTGGTGCCCGGCTGGTGGGTTTGGGGGGGTAGCGACAGGGAGGGGGAAGAGGATTGCAGGGGGAGCAGAGAGAGAGTGTGCTTGAACAGCTGTGACTGGTGTTATACCTGAGAGAAGCAGCACCAGCAGCGACGGCACTACCCGCTGCAGTTCGGGTATTGAAGAAGGTGGTCATGCATCACCCAAGGGAAGGTATTACCTGCAGGAACTGCGCGATGGAGCGGAAGGGCGTGCTGTTGAAGAAGGTGGTCTTGTCGGCGCCCCACGTGCCGGTGGCAGCAAAGGATGCGGAGGTGATGGGGCCAGCAGGCATGTTGGAGCGGAAAAACTCAGCTCCATTCATCAGGAGGACAGCACCGTCATCCCTCTGGATGGACGCAGCTGTTGGGAGAGGTGAGTGAGGGGAGCATAGACAGTGCAGATAGAGTGGCATAAAGGGTTTAGAGGAGGAGGTGATGGGCCCAGCAGGCATGTTGGAGCGGAAAAACTCGGCTCCGCTCATCAGTAGGACGGCACCATCATCCCTCTGAATGGACGAGGCTGTGAAGGGAGAAGAACGGGAGGCATGGGCGCAAGGGATGCACGGACAGTGCAGGTAGAGAGTGGCATGAGGGTTTAGAGGAGGGTGCGGAGGTGATGGGGCCAGCAGGCATGTTGGAGCGGAAAAACTCGGCTCCGCTCATCAAGAGGACGGCACCATCATCCCTCTGGACGGACGCAGCTATGTGGGGAGGCGGGGGAATGGGGGAGAGAGGGGAGAAAGAGGGAGTCAAAGGCAAGCTGGTGCGGAAGAACTCGGCTCCATTCATCGTCCCTCTGGATGGGCGCAGCTGTGGAGGTGAGGTGCACGGGACAAGGCGAGGATTGGAGGAAATGAGGGGGCGCCAGCTGGCTGGGGTCCAAGGGGGTTGGAAAGGCTTGCTAGAGGGGGGCCAGGCGGAAGAAGCGGGTGGAGTCACCACAACAGCAGAACGCGGGTGGAGGGATAAAGCGAAGGGCCAATGGAAGGGGGCGCAGGTTAAAAGAGGAACTCAGGTGAGGGACTCACAGTAGCTCCAGGTGTTGTTGACCTCCTCCTCTGTGAGGGAGAAACTCACAATAGATGGAATCACCAAGACTGGGAGGGCACTAGAGGGGAAGGAGTTGAGGAATCTGAGGGGGGGTGCTTGGGGAATGGATGGACTCACAGTAACTCCAGGTGTTGTTGGCCTCCTCCTCTGTGAGCTTAAAGCTCGAGGAAGAAATAGACCACTAGAGAAGGAAACGAATGAATGAGAGTGGAAGCGAGGGAGAAGGGTCCCAAGGAGGGCGACTCACAGTAGCTCCAGGTGTTGTTGGCCTCCTCCTCTGTGAGAGCAAAGCTCTTGAGGAAGAAGTAGGCGGAGTCGCCACTGGTGAGCTGCGAGAGGTTGGTGGCCGTGGGGGACGCTGAGTTGTAGCCGAATGGCGCTGCACCCTCCTTTAGCAGACGTGCTGGCACGTTGCTGTGGAGGCAGAGAGGGGCAGAGGGGAGAGAGGCTGGTGAGCTGCGACAGGTTGGTGGCCGCGGCTGTCGCTGAGTTGAAGCCAAACGGGGCTGCCCCTTCCTTTACAAGTTGCGCTGGCACGTTCCTGTTGAGGGGCAGAGGGGCGCAAGGGAGAGGGGCAGAGGGGCGCAAGGGAGAGTGGCAGAGTGGGAGAGTGGGACTTGAGGGGAAGAAGTAGGCAGAGGCACCACTGGTGAGCTGCGAGAGAGAGGTTGGTGGCCGTGGGCGATGCTGAGTTGAATCCAAACGGTGCTGCGCCCTCCTTGAGTAGGTGAGCTGGCACGTTGCTGTGAGGGGCAGAGGGGAATGGAAGGAAGCGGGGAAGGGACAGGAAGATGTGGGCTGGGCGAGAGGGCTTTGGGGCGAGAGGGCTTTGGGGCGAGAGGGCTTTGGGGCGAGAGGGCTTTGGGGCGAGAGGGCTTTGGGGCGAGAGGGCTTTGGGGCGAGAGGGCTTTGGGGCGAGAGGGCTTTGGGGCGAGAGGGCTTTGGGGCGAGAGGGCTTTGGGGCGAGAGGGCTTTGGGGCGAGAGCTCCTCCTGAGGAGGAAGTAGGCGGAGTCGCCACTGTTGAGCTGCGAGCGAGAGGTTGGTGACGCTACCATGATCACTGTGAGCTGCACAGTGAAGAGGGCCGTAAGGCAGGCACTGCCCCTTGAAGCACAGGTAACATCAAGTCCCAAGCTGCCTCTCTCCCATGGTCCGACGGTCTCACTCTCACCTGTTGGTGCTCCAAGTGGGGTAGGACTGCGGAAGGTACCCCTTATCGTAGTACAGCCAGCCAGCAGCGATCTTGTTGATCACTGTGACGGGTGCGGTGAGAGGGCCGTACGGCAGGCACTGGCCCTTGAAGCACAGGGAGCCGTCGGCACAGTCGAGCCGAGCGGCAGTTGGAGAGGGCGAGTTGTCGATGAGACCGTCACAGTTGTCGTCCACCCCGTTGCAGCTGAATGGGGAGAGGAGGGGAGTGAGAAAAAGATGAACGGCAAGAGAGCATTGGAGAGGAGAAGGGAGTGAAGGACTGGGAAGGATAAAGTGTAGAGCTTGCTTCTTGTCCTGGCGACTCACAGTCCCTGACAGTGCCATGCACCAACCCCTCCGCACACCACTCCCCATCCCTGCACACCACTCACACTTCAGGCCCGTGGACGGGTGCGGTGCAGTTCTGAAACGCCCCATCAATGCACGTCTCAATACCAGCCCCACAGGGGTTGCGGCACGGGCGCGTGAGAAGCCGGTCGGTCAGTGGGTCTATGTCAACCTTGCCTGTGGATTGGGGGGAGGGGAGAGAGGGAGGGGTGGGTATGAGGGGCCAAGGAAGGGATGTGCATACATGGATGGCACGGGCACGTGCGAAGCCGGTCGGTCAGTGGGTCTATGTCAACCTTGCCTGTGGATTGGATTGGATGGAAGGAGGTGGAAGGGGGGAAATGAGCAGCCTCGGAAGCGATGTGCATGTGACGTGCACACATGGATGGCACGGGCGCGTGAGAAGCCGGTCGGTCAGTGGGTCTATGTCAACCTTGCTTGTGGATTGGGGGGTGGGGGAGTGCGGAGAGGGGGGAGTAGGGAGGGAAGGGAAGTAAGGAGGGAAGGGGGGTGGGGAAGGAGGGAGAGTGGGGAGGGGGGTTGTGGGGGGGGGGAGTATGGCAAGGATGGTTGTTGTCGGTGTGAGGGTGAGATTCTAGAGGTTAGATGGGAGAAAGTGAGATAGGGAATGTTGAGATGGGGAATGTTGAGATGGGGTGTGGCAGCGATGGGAGCGACAGGTGCATGTAAGGGTCGGGTACGGACGGCAGGGGTGCGTGGGAGGCAGGGTGTGTGTTTTCTGATTGTTCATTCCTTCCCCCTCACAAATCGTCCATCGTCCCACCATTATCCACCCTTTCACTACCATTCCCCGACTCACCATCGTCGTTGTTGTTGCCGAGCCCGTCGCACACCTCCTGCAGAATGAGACCACCGTTATGTGTGTTCAGTCCCCCTCACCAACCATGCGCGACCATCCACCACCATGCACCACCATGCACCGTTGCTCACCGTCGTTGTTGTTGTCGAGCCCGTCACACACCTCCTGTAGAATGAGCACGCCACTGCATGTTGCGCTACTGCTCGGTGGGGAGAAGACGAGACGAGAAAGGAGAAGATCGAGGAGAAGAATGAGGAGACGAGGTAGGAAGGAGAAGAGTGGAGAGAGATGGTGACAGCCTGAGGTCAAAGATGGTGACAGCCTGAGGTCAAAGATGGTGACAGCCTGAGGTCAAAGATGGTGACAGCCTGAGGTCAAAGATGGTGACAGCCTGAGGTCAAAGATGGTGACAGCCTGAGGTCAAAGATGGTGACAGCCTGAGGTCAAAGATGGTGACAGCCTGAGGTCAAAGATGGTGACAGCCTGAGGTCAAAGATGGTGACAGCCTGAGGTCAAAGATGGTGACAGCCTGAGGTCAAAGATGGTGACAGCCTGAGGTCAAAGATGGTGACAGCCTGAGGTCAAAGATGGTGACAGCCTGAGGTCAAAGATGGTGACAGCCTGAGGTCAAAGATGGTGACAGCCTGAGGTCAAAGATGGTGACAGCCTGAGGTCAAAGATGGTGACAGCCTGAGGTCAAAGATGGTGACAGCCTGAGGTCAAAGATGGTGATAGCAGCTTGAGATGGCGGTGTGGGGCTCGGACGAAAGTGATGTGGTTGGATCCTCCAATCCAATCCACCATACCAACCTCTCTGCCAGCAACCAACCACTCACATTATCTGTTGAGGCAACTCAAAACGCCCACCAACTCACTTCATTTGTGCGGACAGCTTGAGGTCAAAGAAGTTCTCATCTCAGTGGTCCACATGGCTTTTGAGTCGACTCAAAAGGAGTTGTCAGTGGTCCAGATGGCGGCACGTGATGTGACTCGGCTGCGATGTGGTTGGTGTCTTGAGTCCTCCAGTCCAATCCACTCCCCCACACTTACCTTGACTCCCAGCGGCTAAACTCACTCCATCTGAGCGGACAGCTTGAGGTCAAAGAAGTTCTCGGTGGTCCAGATGGTGGCGTGTGACTGCATTACAGTGCGGTGGGTATCTTGAGTCCTCCAATCCAATCCCCCATACCACCGTTTCCCCCAACCCAACAACTCAATGTCTTCTCGCCCAAACAACTCACTCCATCTGGGCGGACAGTTTGAGGTCAAAGAAGTTCTCGGTGGTCCAGATGGCGGCGTGTGATTCGGCGGCGATGTGGTTGGTGCCCTCCGCGAGAGAGAAGGGTGCTGTGGCGTTGAGAGGGATGAAGAAGAACGTGTAGTCCCACACGTTCTGGTTGGATAGGGCCTGGAGGAGACAGGAGAACGAGATAGAAGCGGGGTTTGGGGAGATTGGGGGGGCATAGATGGAAGAGGGGTCTTGTGTAAGTCTCAACCTAGAGGACACGTTACAGTTTTACTCACCTCACCAGGACACCGCTTCATGCGATTCTCACCCGTGACGACACCTTGACAGCGCCGGCAGTCATGTTGACTCCCAGCATCTCCACCCAGTCAGGTACAGCAGCACACCATCGTTCACTATCACAATGACATGTAGCCCTGTGGCACATGCATGCACGCACAGCAGCCCCTGTCTAACCCACTGCATTGTTATAATCTCACCCTCCACCACACGTTGACAGCACCAGGTGCCATGTTGACTCTCAGCATCTCCACCCCGTTAAGATAGAGGAGTGCGCGGTCGTTCACTATCACATCCACATACAGCCCCGTGGCACACGCATGCACAGCACCATGCTGTCTCACGCAGCGAATTCTATAGTCTCACCACTGTATTGTTACAGTCTCACTCACCCTTGAGGAGACGTTGACCGCGCCGGGAGCCATGTTGACTCGCAGCATCTCGACCCCGTTCAGATAGAGAAGCACGCCGTCGTTGACTATCACATCCACATACAGCCCCGTGGCACACGCGCTGTTGGCCACTCGGAACGGCCGCCGGTAGTAGAAGGTGGGCAGGGCGTCTCCTGAGGGGGGTGTCCATGTGTTGATGCCGACCCACCGCCCTGGTGGTTCATGAGGGGTTGAGAGTGGGTGAGAGTGGGTGGAGAAAGTTGAGAGAAGGTGTGCTGCTGAGCAATCTCGATTGGAGAGACACGTTTTCAGCAAGTGTGTGCCTTGAAGCGCACAGTCACGTGCTCATGCAAGCCCGTGGCACACACGCTGTTGGCAACTCGGAATGGCCGCCGGTAGTAGAAGGTGGGGAGTGCGTCTCCTGAAGGGGGCGTCCATGTGTTGATGCCGGCCCACCGCCCTGGGGGGTTGAAACGGGTGGGATGAGGGGAGGAAAGGAGGATGGGGAAGAAGCATGTGCCAACAGAAAAGGGAAGCCCATGGCGCCCGTCACTGCTGCATGCTGCTTGATGCCATGCCACTCACGTTGTGAGCCTGGTCTGGTCGCACAGTCTCACAACAACCACATGCCACCCCACACACACATGTAACATCTCGCATGGCCGATGATAGCTGGTCCTCTGGGCCAGGACGTGTCGTTGAAGCGCGGAGAGCTGAAGCCTGTCAATGCTGCATGCACCTCCCTGCCGCTCATGCTGTGTTTCTGTTCCCACATGCCTTCACTCACATGCCATGCCACCCATATGCCAGCACACACACACGCGCACGCACGCGCGCACGCGCACGCACGCACGCACGCACGCACGCACGCACGCACGCACGCACGCACGCACGCACGCACGCACGCACGCACGCACGCACGCACACACACACACACACACACGCGCGCGCGTACATCCAACCAACATAGCCGATGATGGCGGGTCCCCTGGGCAAGCTGGCATCGTTGAAGCGCGGAGAGCTGAAGCCCACGGCGCCGTCATTGCCGCATGCAGCTCCCTGCCAATCATGCTGTCTGTACTGTACCCACATGCCTTCACCACATGCCTTCACCACATGCCTTCACCACATGCCTTCACCACATGCCTTCACCCACATGCCTTCACCCACATGCCTTCACCCACATGCCTTCACCCACATGCCTTCACCCACATGCCGTCATCATAGCCCATGATGGCAGGGCCGCGGGGCCAGGAAGCGTCGCGTTGAGATGAATCCCATGGCGCCCGAGATTGCTGCATGCATGCAGCAACACACCACAAGCCATGCCAGCACCCCCACACACGTACATCCCACATAGCCAATGATAGCCGGGCCTCGCGGCCAGCTGGCATCGTTGAAGCGCGGAGAGCTGAAGCCCATGGCGCCCGAGATTGCTGCATGCAGCTCCCTGCCGCTCACGTCGTACGCCCACGTGGACCCCGGAGCCACCAGGCCACAACGACTGGTGGTGGGTGAGGGGGGAGAGGGAGGTGATGGAGAGGAGAGGGAGGTGATGATAGGGGGAGGGGAGGGAGCTGGAAACAGAAGTGCTCAGTACAAGCACTTACTAAGGGAGGCACTTACTGGGGGAGGCACTTACTAAGGGAGGCACTTACTGGGGGAGGCACTTACTGGGGAGGCACTTACTGGGGGAGGCAGACCATAAACGCTGGGCATGTACTAGGAGAGGCGGCAGCCGTGTTGGGGGGGCCGCTTACTAGGAGAGGCGCTTACTGGGGGAGGCGCTTACTGGGGGAGGCGCTTACTGGGGGCGGCGCTTACTGGGGGCGGCGCTTACTGGGGGCGGCGCTTACTGGGGGAGGCGCTTACTGGGGGCGGCGCTTACTGGGGGCGGCGCTTACTGGGGGCGGCGCTTACTGGGGGAGGCGCTTACTGGGGGAGGCGCTTACTAGGGGAGGCGCTTACTGGGGGAGGCGCTTACTGGGGGAGGCGCTTACTAGGGGAGGCGGCAGCCGGTGACGGGGTTTGCGGAGGCACGGAGCACGATTGGCTTGGAGGAGGTTCCGTCGAAAAAGAGCTCGATGGTTGGCTTGAACTTGAAGCACACGAATGAGAACTGCACCGCTGCCCGGTCTGATGTGCCCGCGCAGGCTCTGCGGTATGGTGGGGAGAGGGAGGGGCGGGTGGGTGGGCATTTGAAGCACGGTGGGGCTTGGTTGGAAGAGGTTTCGTCGAAGAAGAGGTCGAGGGTGGGCTTGAACTTGAAGCACACGAACGAGAACTGCACCGCTGCTTTGTCTGATGTGCCGGGACACGCCCTGCAGCGTAGTGGGGAAGGGAAGAGTCGTGGGCAGGTGGAGGGTGAATAATGGGCAGCCCGGAAGTGGGCCTGAATCCGAACAACCAGCAGCACCAGCAGCACCAGCAGAGGCACCTTCACTCACCTCCAGTTCACGTCTTGCTCCTCATTGGTCATCCACTGGTTGCTCTGCTTCGCTGGGATTCTCAGAGTCCCAAGGCCCACTAATAAATTATGTGACCACACCAGCAACAAACAGTAGCAGCAGCAGCACCAGCCCCAGCAATACTCACTTCCAGTTCACGTCTTGCTCCTCGTTGATCATCCATTGGTTGCTCTGCTTCGCCGGAATCCTCAGAGTCACCGGCCCGTTGCACCCGTTGCTGTCGCGCAATTGCACCGTGATATTGCTGGGGAAGAAGGCGCGGTTGTTACCCGGTAACCCTATGTTGACCTCGTAGGTGGCGTTCGCCAGCAGGGGCACCACGAAGATGCGCTGCCCTGCCGTCCACATGTTGCCCACCGACCGCAGATTGCCGTCCACTGTGATCACTGTGTCGTCCTCTATGCGGCGAATGGAAAGGTAGCTGGGATAGGGAGAGACAGAGAAGGAAGCAGAGGGGTAGAACGTGGGTAAGAAATGCAGGGATATAAGAGAGGCATCAGATGTTGCCCCACCGACCGCAGATTGCCGTCCACTGTGATCACTGTGTCGTCCTCTATTGCGGCGAATGGAAAGGTAGCTGGGATAGGGAGAGACAGAGAAGGAAGCAGAGGGGTAGAACGTGGGTAAGAAATGCAGGGATATAAGAGAGGCATCAGATGTTGCCCCACCGACCGCAGATTGCCGTCCACTGTGATCACTGTGTCGTCCTCTATTGCGGCGAATGGAAAGGTAGCTGGGATAGGGAGAGACAGAGAAGGAAGCAGAGGGGTAGAACGTGGGTAAGAAATGCAGGGATATAAGAGAGGCATCAGATGTTGCCCCACCGACCGCAGATTGCCGTCCACTGTGATCACTGTGCCGTCCTCTATGCGGCGAATGGCAAGGTAGCTGGGAGGGTGAGGAAAGGGCAGCAGGGTAGCAGAGGTGTGGAATGAGGGTAAACAATGCAGGGATACAAGTAGAACAGAATGTGCGCTCTGTGTGCCCATGTGTTGCTGATCGAGCGCAGATTGCCGTCCACTGTGATCACTGTGTCGTCCTCTATGCGGCGAATAGAAAGGTAGCTGGGGGGGGTAGCAGGGAGCGTGGGGATCGCAAAGAGGGTAACAGATGGAGAGGGTAAGAGAGAGGTGGTGGCAGATGGAGAGGAGTTAGCCATTAGGGCACATAATGTACCCACCCGCCCCACCACCATCAACACCACCACTCAGCCCCACTTCACATCCACCAATCATTCTCCGCACACACCGTCCCTTCCCCTCACTCGCACCTGCAGTCGCCTCGCTTGCGTGTGTCAGGCGCGCTGCTGTTCTCATACACAGGAAATATCAGCTCCAGGTAGGAGAACATGACGGTGGGATGCAATAGCACGTCCCTGCACAGGAATGCTTGTTCACTCACCCCCTTCTCCCCCCTGATTCTCACCTGAAGTCGCCTCGCTTGCGTGTATCCGGCACGCTGCTGTTCTCATACACAGTAAACCCCGGCTCCAGGTAAGTAAACATGACAGTGCGATAACATGTCCCCGGGCACGCATAGGCGTTCCAAGCGGGCACGGGCTGGCAAGCAGGGAAGCGCTTGGTGGGCGGCAGCAGGGCGGTGTTGTTTGCCAGCAGGTAGCCTCCGGCAGTGGCGTTGAGCAGAGAGCCGTCTTTGTCCCACAGGGTGTACAGGTCTGTTGCCTCTCCTCCTCTGTTCACGTCTCCTCCCTTTTGGGGTGGGTGGGAAGTAGTAATGGGTGGGGAGTGAAGAAGAGAGAGAGAGAGAGTGGGGAGGCGGATTTCGTTGCACGCGACCCTGACAGTGGGAGACGTGGATCACTGATGCCACAATCACTGACCCCGTGCTGCAGAACCGTGACCCTACAGCCTGCAAGCCCGCAGCAAGGGGAAAGGGAAAGGGAAAAGGAAAGGGAAAGGGAAAGGGAAAGGGAAAGGGAAAGGGAAGTGTACCGGCACGTCAAACACGTCGTGCGTCCTGGCCCTTGAGTTGAGACGTATGGGGCAAACATAGCAGGGTGGGGATAGGCAGTGGTGCAAAGTGCACACCAGAGGAGGAGTTGGGCAGTGGTGGCAAAGTGCACACCAGAGGAGGAGTTGGGCAGTGGTGGCAAAGTGCACACCAGAGGAGGAGTTGGGCAGTGGTGGCAAAGTGCACACCAGAGGAGGAGTTGGGCAGTGGTGGCAAAGTGCACACCAGAGGAGGAGTTGGGCAGTGGTGGCAAAGTGCACACCAGAGGAGGAGTTGGGCAGTGGTGGCAAAGTGCACACCAGAGGAGGAGTTGGGCAGTGGTGGCAAAGTGCACACCAGAGGAGGAGTTGGGCAGTGGTGGCAAAGTGCACACCAGAGGAGGAGTTGGGCAGTGGTGGCAAAGTGCACACCAGAGGAGGAGTTGGGCAGTGGTGGCAAAGTGCACACCAGAGGAGGAGTTGGGCAGTGGTGGCAAAGTGCACACCAGAGGAGGAGTTGGGCAGTGGTGGCAAAGTGCACACCAGAGGAGGAGTTGGGCAGTGGTGGCAAAGTGCACACCAGAGGAGGAGTTGGGCAGTGGTGGCAAAGTGCACACCAGAGGAGGAGTTGGGCAGTGGTGGCAAAGTGCACACCAGAGGAGGAGTTGGGCAGTGGTGGCAAAGTGCACACTAGAGGAGGAGTTGGGCAGTGGTGGCAAAGTGCACACCAGAGGAGGAGTTGGGCAGGGGTGGCAAAGTGCACACCAGAGGAGGAGTTGGGCAGGGGTGGCAAAGTGCACACCAGAGGAGGAGTTGGGCAGTGGTGGCAAAGTGCACACCAGAGGAGGAGTTGGGCAGTGGTGGCAAAGTGCACACCAGAGGAGGAGTTGGGCAGTGGTGGCAAAGTGCACACCAGAGGAGTTGGGCAGTGAGCTTCCGCTGGCAGCACTCACGGGGACCTCACGGAGAGCTCACGTGCGAGGTCAGGTGGGAGGAAGGGAGCAGCAGCACTCACGGGGAAGGTGAAGTTGCGGGGAGGAAAGTAGAGCATGTTGGTGCCGGGTGTGCCTGTCACAAGCTGCAGCAAGCAGGCTTGGATCGCGTGTCTAAGCAGCACTCACTGGGAAGGTGAAGTTGCGGGGCGGAAAGTAGAGCATGTTGGTGCCGGGTGTGCCTGTCACAGCCTGCCATGATGGGATAGGATTGGATGAGAGGGATGGGATGAGTGAGGTGGGATGAGAGGGTTGGGATGAGAGGGGTGGGGGCATGGAGGGGAGAAGGAGAAATGTGGTCGAGGAGGAGAAAGAGGTCAGTGGGACTGGTGTGATGAGAGGGACGGGCAGGCACAGGGGTTGACATGGGGTGAGTGAGAGAGGCATTGAGATGAGAAATGGCGGAAATAGAAACGTAGGTGGAGGTGGGGAATGAGGTTGCAGGGAGGTCAGAGCACGGATCTCTCGGTGCTCCACTGCCTACGTTTCACTGGTACCAGTAGTGCAGTGCAGCCACCAGTGAAGGGGCACATGGTAAGGCTCAGGCAGCGGCCATACACTAACGCTCTCATCTCACCTGCACACTGGTGGCCGTGGCCCACGTGTCCTTGGGAGCTCCGTTGATGCCCGCGCCCATGGCAGGTGGCAGGACCCTTGTACCGGCAGCAGCTAGTCATGTGCCACACAGACACAGCATGGCGCTCACTCACCCGACAGTAAACAGCCACGGGTTATGTGGTAACCACCCCACGCACCTGCACACTGGTGGCCGTGGCCCACGTGTCCTTGGGAGCTCCGTTGATGCCCGCGCCGATGGCAGCAGCTAGGCGGCATGTGCTGTCATACGCGTGGAACCTGCAAAGGGGCTCAGTGCGGTGAAGTCAAGTGGGGCGCCATGGTGTGAGGTTCCAAGGGGTGCGGTGCAGTGGGGAGGGATGAGATGGAGTGCGGAAAGAGGTCGTTGAACGAGGTTGGGGGGAGCGGTCGGGGAGAAAGCCGGTGTACAAATTCACAGAGAGACAATGGATGGACAGGAGCGGAGCAGAGAGACAACGGATGGACAGGAGCGGAGCAGAGAGACAACGGGTGGACAGGAGCGGAGCAGAGAGACAAGGGGTGGACAGGAGCGGAGCAGAGAGACAACGGGTGGACAGGAGCGGAGCAGAGAGACAACGGGTGGACAGGAGCGGAGCAGAGAGACAAGGGGTGGACAGGAGCGGAGCAGAGAGACAACGGGTGGACAGGAGCGGAGCAGAGAGACAACGGGTGGACAGGAGCGGAGCAGAGAGACAACGGGTGGACAGGAGCGGAGCAGAGAGACAACGGGTGGACAGGAGCGGAGCAGAGAGACAACGGGTGGACAGGAGCGGAGCAGAGAGACAAGGGGTGGACAGGAGCGGAGCAGAGAGACAACGGGTGGACAGGAGCGGAGCAGGGAGACAGCGGGTGGACAGGAGCGGAGCAGAGAGACAACGGGTGGACAGGAGCGGAGCAGAGAGACAACGGGTGGACAGGAGCGGAGCAGAGAGACAAGGGGTGGACAGGAGCGGAGCAGACGGGTGGGTGGACAGAGAGCAGGGTGTTGAGGCGGTTCACCGGCAGTTGGAGATGGCGTGGGCACGGGCGAAGTCGAATCCAAAGGTGGGATGGTCGATGATGATGCCAAAGATGGGGTTCCTCCAGTGCGACCACCCCTGTGACCGCCCCTGCTGCCCAGCAGCCAGGGGGAAGCTGCAATGCAAGAGGGAGATACATGCCCACAGGTGCACAGCACAGCACGCACACAGAGTGATGATGGCATGTCAAACACGGGGTTCTTGACGTGGCTCCATCCAACCCCTGCGACCGCCGCTCCTGCTGCCCGGCAGCCAAGGGGAACATGTGTGGGGGTGTTATGAGACGTCTCAAAACACTTCTTCAATCAAGGGGAACATGTGTGGGGGTTACGGGCTGGGGAAAGACACGCACGAACAGGAGCTTTGAGCCATCTACTCGCATTGCTCCACACTCCCTTTGATACCTCACTCCCTCTGCTCCCTAACTCCCTCTGCTCCCTAACTCCCTCTGCTCCCTCACTCCCCCTGGTCCGTAACTCCCTCTGCTCCCTCACTCCCTCCGCTCCCTCACTCCCTCGCTCCCTCACTTCCTCTGATCCCTCACTTTCTCCTCTCCCTCACTCCCTCCGCTCCCTCACTCCCTCCGCTCCCTCACTTCCTCTGATCCCTCACTTTCTCCTCTCCCTCACTTTCTCCTCTCCCTCACTCCCTCTGCTCCCCATCAGCACTCACTCGCAGCCGGAGACAGGCCCACACATCTGGGACGTGGAGTCACACGTACACCGGCACGCGGGTTGCCATCGTTGGTTGGTTGGGGGACAGCCAACACACACACTGGCACTCACCCTACCAGGCTACACTCACTCGCAGCCAGACACAAAGCCTCCCTCACTCCTGCTCCCTCGCTCCCTCTTTTCCCACGCAATACGCACTCGCAGCCGGCCACAGGGCCACACATCTGCGGCGTGGAGTCACACATGCGCGGGTTGCCATAGTAGGGAGACACCCCCACGAACACCAAGGGGGCTGTCTGTCACTCTCACTCCCTTCCCTCACTCCCCCTGCCCCACCCCAACACTCACTCGCAGCCGGACACAGGCCCACACATCTGCGGAGTCAAGTCACACATGCGGGGGTTGCCATAGCTGGGGGTAACCCCAATGAACCGGCTCTCAGTGACCTTCAGTCTCTCCCTCCGCTCCCTCACTCCCTCTGCTTCCTTGATCTCTCTCCCACTACACTCACTCTTTCCTGCAATAAACACTCACTCGCAGCCGGCCACAGGCCCACACATCTGGGGCGTGGAGTCACACATGCGGGGGTTGCCATGGTTGGTTGGTTGAGAGACAGCCCACACACAAACCAGCACTCCGAAACCTTAACCCAGGCTAAACTCACTCGCAGCCGGCCACAGGGCCACACATCTGGGGCGTGGAGTCACACATGCGGGGGTTGCCATAGTTGGGGGTCACCCCAATGAACTGGCTGTCTGTCACCTTCACGCCCGTGTTCCCAAGCAGGTTCAGTCCCTGTCGGTTGTCCGCAAACGTGCTGTTGGTGATGATGAGCCCGTCTGAATTGTGCACGAACAAACTGGTGTGTGGGGGGTGCGCGGGAGGAGAGGGGTGGGGTGGGGGAGTGGGGAAGAGACGGTGTTTCTCTGTAGGCTAAATCCTCAGAAGGACTGAGTGCGGCTGTCAGTGACACTCATGCCCGTGTCACCCAGCAGGTTGAGCCCCTGCCGGTTGTCAGCGACTGTGCTGTTGGTGCTGATGACACCGTTTGATTTGTGCATGGAGAATCTGGCGAGGAGAGGGGTGGGGAGCGGGAAGATGGGGGAAAAGGGTGACGAGGGGGGTTTGGTGGGAAACGCTGGCCTTAGAGAAGCTAGTGCGGCATGGGCTGGTCAGGGAAACAAAGCATGGGCCAGTTAGAGCTTTCCCAGGGGCTGAGACATGCGCCCGCTAGCTGCCCCTTGTACCACTCACCGCGCCTACAAACCACTCATTGCCCCTCCAAACCACTCACCCATCCCCGGATTGCTTGTAGAGCAGCAGCCCGCTGATGGTTCCTGTAGACGGCTTCCACTGCCACTGCGGTTGGGGCGAGAGGTGGGGTGGGGTGGTGAGAGGTTTAAGGGTTTGTGTGCACACAAACACACACACACACACACACACACACACACACACACACACACACACACACACACACACACACACACACACACACACACATGCATTGTGCAGGCGAGTGCCAACCCTCTGATGGTGCGCCAGCCCGGCCCTCTGTTGCTGTGTTCCACGTGCATTCTCCACGGCCCACTCTCCTGCCATGCATCCCTACCTGAGGGATACGCGAATCCAGCGACCAATAGGCGTCCCTACCTTAGGGTTGCACCCCCTTGGGGTACGTCCTCCACCCCGGCCCTCGGTTGCTGTGGGCCACGTGCATCCCGCACTGCCCACTCTCCTCCCGTGCTCTTTACAATTCCTTACCTGGGGGATCGGAGAGTCCAGCGACCAAGTCTGCCTGGGTCGCACCCCCTTGGGATAAGTCCTCCACCCCGGCCCTCGGTTGCTGTGGGCCACGTTATCCCGGTAGATGCCAAAGGGGCCGTTGGCCGGCACGGTGGCGTTGAGCCCGGGGTAGGAGAGCGTGAATCCGCGCACCCTGTCCCTCAGCTCCATCCAATAGCTGTAACGGAGGGGGGTTGTGTGCAGGAAGAGGGGGGGAAGAGTGGCAAGGGGAGACAGGGACATGGATCAGAGGGGTGGATAGCAAAGGGGCCATTGGCCGGCACTGTGGCGTTGAGCCCGGGGTAGGACAGCATGAATCCGCGCACCCGGTCCCTCAGCTCCATCCAATAACTGGTTGGTTGGGGGGTTGTGTGCGGGAGGGAGGGGAGCAAAGTTGTAAGGTTGTAGCCTCCCCGTTCCTACCCTATCTGTACCAATCAATCGATCTGTCTGTCCCTCCCGTCCCTCCCGTCCCTCCCGTCCCTCCACACTCACAGCCGCACTTGCACGGACTCGCACCCCACCCCCAGTTCTCAGAGCCAGCGGCATCATAGCCGCCGAGGGAGCTGTTGTTGGGGTGAATGGTGATCGAGAAGACGGTGAGGTTTGTCAACCTCCAGTCTGCCTGTCTGCCATCACTCACTTGCTCTCACACTCACACTTGCACGGACTCACAACCACCCCACCCACCCACCTCACTCACAACCCGCCCCGAGTTTTCAGAGCCAGCGGCGACGTTCCCAATGAAGTAGTTGTTGGGGTTGGTGATCCAAAACGTGGACGGGTTGTTGCCGCCGCTGGAATCAGAACGCACCCCTGTCTGTCTGTCTGTGATGGTGATGGGTTACTTTCTTCTCCTTGTGCGCGTGCACCCAATCAGAATGCGCCCTAATCGGAACATACCCCGAGTTCTCAGAGCCAGCGGCGACGTTCCCAATGAAGTTGTTGTTGGGGTTGGTGATCCAAAACGTGGACGGGTTGTCATCCGTCTCCTCGGTCTTAGTGGGGTCGGCTGCTGACAGCGGGATGAGCACCTCCACTGGTAGGGGGGAATGGTTGATGGGTTGATGGTTGGGAGAGAGAGAGATGAAAGGGAGTAAGGCAAGCACTGGGTGAACGAGAACGTGGACGGGTTGTCGTCTGTTTCCTCGGTCTTGGTGGGGTTGGCTGCTGACAGCGGGATGAGCACCTCCACTGTTGGAAGAGTGGGTGAGGGGGAGCAGGGGGTGGTTGGGGGTGGGGATAAGGGGAGAAGGTACAAGTCACGTGCATGTGCTAACGTGAACGGGACATCGTCTGTCTCCTCCGTCTTGGTGGGGTCGGATGAGAGCGGGATGAGCACCTCCACTGTTGAGGGTGAGGAGGGAAATCGCTTTTGAGAATTCTCAAAAACGATTTCCATATGTTCGGATGAGAGCGGGATGAGCACCTCCACTGTTAAAGCCCGCGGCCCAAAGAAGCGCGCTTGCAATTTGGGACTTCGGGGACTGAACCAACTCCCAGGGCGAAATTCCAGGGCAGGCTGGGTTTGGCGATAAAAACGAAAAAAACGAAATGGGAATCACTCGCCAAAACCCAGACCAGAAAAAACCCCTTGCGTCATCCTTTTAAAACTTGTGCAATTTGGGCCAACGGCTTTAAAGGGTGAGGAGGGTAGGGTAGGTGAAGGGAGGGGGACAGGGAGGGAGATGAAGGGAGACAATTTGATTTGACCCACCAGCTCTTGACCAGATTCACCTCACCTGTTCTTGTCCAGATTCACCGCACCTGCTCGCGTCCAGATGCCGAGGTTGCGCAGGAAGGTGTTGTCGGTCTCGCCGCCCTCCTCCACCATGAAGCAGTGCCCCCTCGTGTGGTATGCCACGTTCTCCTCCACCGTCAGGTTGAACGTCGTGTGCACCACCACACAACGCTGGGGGGAACGGGGACGCAAAGGGAACATAAAGGAGCAAACAAACAGTGAGGGAAAAGAAGGGATCTTGGTGACTCGTGTGGTATGCCATGTTCTCTTCGACTGTGAGGTTGAAGATCGTGTGCATTACCACACAGCGCTGGTGATGAAGGGAGGACGTGGGCGAAAGGAAGAATCAAGGCAGCGCCATCAAGGCTACGTGGTGGTGGGGGCGGGAAATGAAAGGTGCTGTTTTGTTTCCACCATCCCTCACATACTTGCTCTCATCTCAACCCTCACCTGCTTCGCACCACCATCAACCCCCCCTCACCTGCTTGCTATCATGCATCACGTTCGTCCGCACCACACTCCACCCTGGTCATCCCCGCATATTGCCCCAGCTTCACCTTCTTGCTCCCACCTTCCCCTGCTTCCCACCACCCCGCCCTCACCTGCTTGCTGTCATGCATCACGTTCTTCCGCACAACACTCCGCCCCCCGTCATCCCCGCACACGTGAAAGTGAATGTTATACCGCCCCAGCTTGCCCTGCTGCCCCATCTGAGCAAACTCCACGCCTTCAATAAACTGCGGCGTGCCGCTCATGAAGATCATGAAGTGCCCGCCCTCCCGGTGGTACGGCGCCGGCTCGTCTGTTCCCGTGATGGCGATGGTGCGGTTGAGGAGGGCCACTTCGGCCCGCTGGTCCACGAAGCCTCCGTAGCCGTCCGGCACGCCCTTGGGATCTCCGAAATGCATCAGGCGGAGCGGCTTTTCCAGGAAGATTTTCGAGCCGCCCGAAGGGAGTGCCACCACTGAAGGAAGGGAGGCAGGGGGGGGGGGGGGAGGGAGAGAGTGAGAGAGAGAGAGGGTTGAAGGGTGGCACTCCCATCCGGCGTCTGTTCCCGTGATGGCGATGGTGCGGTTGAGGAGGGCCACTTCGGCCCGTTGGTCCACGAAGCCTCCGTAGCCGTCCGGCACGCCCTTGGGATCTCCGAAATGCATCAGGCGGAGCGACTTTTCCAGGAAGATTTTTGAGCCGCCGGAGGGAAGGGCCACCACTGGAGGGAGGTGGGGAGAGAGGGGGAAGTTTGGTTGGTGAGCGTGTGGTCCAAGCACCCCCTTGTGATCCAAGCACCCCCTTGTGATCCGCGAAACGAGTCCGGCACAGCAGCTTTTTGAGAAAGGTCTTTGAACAGCCTGGGAGAGCCACCACTGGAGGGAGGTGGGAGAGGGTAGGGGGCAGGTGGGGAAGGCGGGTGGTGGCGAATGCATGGTGAGGTGAGCCGGAATGATTCTGCCTGCCCCATCTTGGGATCTCCGAAGTGGTTCCCATCCCAGTGGCTTCCTTTTCCCTCGACGTACCATCAATGATCCCCACGACCTCGGCCTGGTCGGGGAAGTAGTCGGTGGATGTGACAACAACGAAGGCGTCCTGAGGCCATGCGCTGACGTCATCCTGCACTGTAATCACCAGGTCGTTGGGCTGAGCTGTCGCCGCCAGCTTCGTCCATGAGGGCGTGCTGCTGCCACCTGGCATGCCGTGGAAATCCACCTGGCCGCCCACCTGACAGCAACAGAGAGAAGAGTAGCAAACAATCACCGTGTGTCAAATTAGAGGTGGATGCGGGCGAGGGAAAAGAACACACGTGCATCAACCAGGACGTAACATTCACCTGACCGCTCTCAGGTGAAAACAACAGTGGAGCCGTCGAAGTGAGTTAAGTTGGGAGGGGAAGGGGGTGAAGGGGGTGCGGATTGGGGTCGGGCAGGAAGGAGGGGAGAGCGGTCCAGAAGCGGAGAGAGCAGAGGAGAGAGAGGAGATGCAGCAGTCACTTTAGAGAATTGAACGACTGCACCACTCACCACAGCAAACGCCTTGTGGCCCAAGTTGCGCGGAAACGCGGGCAACCAGTCGACAACGGAACGCCAATCACTCACTCACTCATTCACTCACCACTGCAAACGCCTTGTGTCCAAGGTTCCTTGGAAACGCGGGCTCAGCCGGAAGGTTCTCCGTGAACAGATAGTCCGCGCGGTTATTCGGATTGGGCGTGAGCGTGATCTTGATCCTCTGCCTGTAGTGCTGCTGCGGCGTGCCGATGGAGAAATTCCCCTGCACCACTATGAACGCCGCGGACAGGTCGACCTTGGGCAGCGCGGGGGAGTCGAGCACGCGGAGAAAGCCGCGGATGTTGAGGAGAGTGAGGGTGATGGGCGAGGTGTCGAGGAGAACGGCCTCCCCGCAGGGGATTGTGACGTTGGCGCCGATGGCGTCGCCTTGGCCCGGGATGGACCCGCCTGCCCACGTGGCCGGGTCGCTCCACTTCTTGTACGCTGGGAGGGGAAAGGGGGTGAGAGGAGGGGGGGAAGGGGGGAAGGGGAGGGCGGGAATGGAGGGAGGTGGGGAATTGGAGGGTTGGGGGGTGGAGGGAATAGCAGGAAAGGGAGCGCGATGGAGAAGGGACAAGGGAGGGGTAACGGGGGGGGGAAGGGGTAGAGATGGTGGAAGGGGGAGGGGGAGAGAGAAGGGAGGGGAGGGAGAGGGGGAACGGAGAGGGAAGGGGAGCTGAAGGAGGGGAGGGGAGAGGGGAAAGGGAAGGAAGTGAAGGAAGAAGGGCAGGGGGAGGGGGAGGCGCACTGGTAGGTTCGGCGAGGGTGGGGCAGGGTGGTTGGAAGTTATCCAGCACGTTGGGTCGCCCAGCAGTCGCAGGCGACGCCATTGCGACGACGGTGACTGCGACTGCGACAGCCGCCAGCCATGCTGCGCCGCGAGGCCCCGGAAGGACGGAAGGCCCGCCGCGGCCACGGCGGGAGGAGCGCGCGGACGGTGAATGAGCGGAGGGGGAGCGCGCGGCGGGTACGCGGGCGGCCGAATGGCTCTGGCGGCAGGAAAAGGCGGGAATTGTCGGATGGCGAGGCGGCGAATCGACGGCGCGGTATGAAGACATCGTGGCGGCGCGGGAAATGCGCGGCTTTGGCAGGAGTCCAGGAAGGAAATTAACAGCTTCAGCGCGTCAGGCGGTGTGTCACGAGGAGCCACACGCAGTGCCGGTCGGCGCTCGCTACAATTCCGTTCGAAAATGAGCTCCTCTAAGGGCCTCGTCGCTTCCGAAGACTCCTGCTACTAAAACAGCCTGTTCCTCCCCATGCGCATCGCCAGTGTGTGAAAATGAAACGGCGGGCTGACTAGCCTAGAGTGTCTGTGAGCAGACAGGGCCGAATTTCTCCAGCGGAAGTTCAGAGCTTGCTCCCCGTTTCTGCCACTCACCCACCAGGCACTCCATTCCACAGCGCTCAACAACCCAGTCCCCGCGTACGGTCTAGTACGTTACACTACTGTAATACTCCCCGCATGGGAGGTAAGATACACTACATCTGTAACGAACGAAGCACACTGCACTGTACTTTATCTGTCTGTACACGCATGGCAGAAGCACGGGAGGGGGTGAGGTGAGGTGAGGAAGGGGGGGGTGTGTGTTTCTGGCGGCAGGTGCATGGGCATCTGGATAGGGCGGCCCGGTACGGCGCCAGTGGCCGCAGGCCACCTACCGACAGAGTCAGCAAGTGGCGCTGAACGTTACTGCCATACTGGTTTTGCCTAAAAGCTGTATAAAGTGTTTTCTAAAGTCTCACTAACTGTTACGAGTGCAATTGAGTGAGCGAGCGAGAATTGCACTATCGAAGCAAAAGTACAATGAGCGAAGGCATGAGCGAAGAATATATAGCGAAACTACAGTGGTAACGGTAATGGACTGTGGTTGTTGCGCGACGGGCCTGGGACTGAGGTTGGGGAAAATGTCGAAGCGGAGGCCCGGAGCGCAGGTTACCCGCCGAGCCGTGAGGTCGGGGTGCGACGTGCGAAGGTGACGGGAGGATTGTCGATGCGGGGGTTGCGAGTGGTAACGGTGCTGACTGTGGTGCTACAGTGGTGTACGCGCTGAGCGGGGACGCGAAGTAAGGAAAAGGAATTTTCCTTACACTACCCCCCCCCCCCTAAGGAGGTCCTCCTTACGAAAGCGCGTGTACATCCCTGAAATTTCGGCTGCGTAGATACTCGGTGAGGACGGGGTGGTTTTCGATTCTGTCCAGGGAAACCCAGTTGTCTTCGGTGGGTGTACGGTCTTTCCAGCGGATCAGGAACTCGATCCTTCGGGCTCCTCGAGGGTCACGAACTCTGTGGCTCAGGATTTTCTCGGGGGTGATGATTGGTTCAGTCGGCGGTCGTGTCATGCTGGCTGGGCGATTTCGTGGCAGTTGCCTCATGGACGGGACGTAAGGGCGAAGCAGGCTGACGTGGAATGAGGGGCTGACGTACTAGTCGGCATGGAGGAGGAGGTGGGCGGTGACGGGCGTAATCATGTGGCTTATGCGAAATGGCCCGCAGTATCGGGGGCGAAGTTTTGGGGTAATGGGCAGTCGGAGGTTCTGAGTGTCAAGTAAAACTAGGTCGTCGGGCTGGTAAGTGACGGGTCTGCGGTGGCGGTCGGCGTTGCGTTTAGCGATGATGTTCGATTTTTTTATTGCGTCTGCTGCCCGGGTCCATGCTGCCTGTAATATTTCGGCGAACTGTTGTGCTCGTGGCACTGGGTTGTCGGGATTCGGGGTCATGGGTACTGTCGGATCTTGTCCGTAGTTTAGGTAAAATGGTGACTGTTGGGTCGTGGCGGATGGCGAGTTGTTGCACGCGAATTCGATGAGTGGCAGTTGCTGTTCCCACGTGGTCGGGTCGTCGCACGGATGAGCTGTTCCATGGTCTGATTTGTCCGTTCTGTCTGTCCGTCGGTTTCGGGGTGGTATGATGAACTGAACTGCAGTCGCGTGCCGAACTGCTGCCACAGGTTCCGCCAGAAGTTGCTGGTGAATTTCGTGTCGCGGTCGCTGATGATCGCTGCTGGTATCCCGTGTAATCGAACGATGGTGGCGATGAAGAGGCGAGCTGTTTCTTCGGCTGTGATTGATTTCTTGCATGCTGCGAAATGTGCCATTTTCATCAGTCGATCGACGACGACCAGGATCGCGTCGTTCCCACTCGCCCCGGCCGGTAACCCCGTGACGAAGTCCATCGTCACCTGCTGCCAAGCACGCTCTGGGGGTGGTATCGGCTGCAACTGTCCCGCCGGCCGCTGTCGTGATGATTTCATGAGCTGGCAAGTGGGACACGATGCCACGTGTCGTTGTACGTCGGTCAACATTTCGGGCCAGTAATAATACCGCTGCAGTTGCTGCCGTGTTTTTTCTACTCCGAAATGCCCCGAGGTAACTCCGTCGTGTGCCTCCTGTAACAGTAATTCCCGTAGCAGTGTATACCCAGACACCCAAATGCGGTCAGTCCCGGCTTTTACGTAATAGACTCCTCTTGCTGCTGCGAACTGCTGCGAATTTCCTCCTGTGAAGAATGGATCCGTTTGGTACCCGTGGGTAAATAGGCCTGTCAGTAGGGGACTGGTCTGGGCGAGTAGTATTGCGTGGATCTGGGCAGTGGGGCGGGTCTGTGCATCGGCGATGTTCGAGGCTCCCTTTTTGTAAGTGACCGTGTAGTGAAAGTTGGACTCGAGAAAATCGAGCCAGCGAATCTGTCGTGGGTTGAGGTGTGGCTGTGCGCGGAGATACTGTAGTGATTTATGGTCTGTCCGTACTGTCACGTCTGCGCCGGTCAAGTAACAGCGCCACACTTTGAACGCGTGCACGATCGCAAGCATTTCGCGATCGTATATTGGGTAATTTTTTTCGGGCGGATGCAGTTTTCGTGACTCGTATGCGATGGGCTGTAGGCCGTTGCCGAAGTCCTGTAGCAGTACGGCTCCGATGGCGATGTCGCTTGCGTCGGTAACTACTTCGAATGGGCGGTGTGGGTCGGCGATGCGCAGGACGGGCGGTGAACAGAGAACATTTTTCAGGGCAGAGAAGGCAGCATGCTCTTTCTCCCCCCACGTAAAAGCGACCCCCTTCCGCAGTAAATCCGTCAGTGGGGCAGTTAACCGTGCCATATCGGGGACGAACCGACGCACATAATTAACGAACCCTAAAAAGCTCTGTAGCTCCGTTATGTTCGTCGGGGGGTGCCACGCTTTTACCGTGTCCAGCTTCTTTGGGTCGATTTCAACTCCAGCATCCGAAATAACGTGCCCCAAAAATTCTAACCTATCCTGGAAGAACTCGCACTTGGAACCCTTGGTCAGTAATCTGTGCTCGTCTAAAACCTTAAATACCGCTTCCAGATCTGCTAAGTGCTGCTGCTTATCCCGACTGTAAACTAGGATGTTGTCGAGGTAAACTATCACACATTTATCTAAGAGCGGCCTAAACGCCTCGTTCATGGTCATCTGAAAAGTCGCCGGTGCGTTGGTCAGCCCGAATGGCATCACGGTGTACTCGAATGACCCATACATAGTTCTAAATGCTGTTTTTACGCAGTCCGATGGTTCGACCCGAATCTGGTGGTAACCTCCACGTAAGTCAATTTTCGAAAAGACTCGTGCTGTTCGCAGTTGATCTATCAGTTCGTCGGCGCGGGGAATGGGGTATCGTGACTTGACTGTTACCCTGTTCAGTGCTCTGTAGTCGATACACATGCGAAAACCCCCGTCTTTTTTCGGTGTGAATAGTATCGGTGCGGCGAACGGTGATGAGCTCGGTCGGATGATTTTTTTCTCTAACAGGTAATCTAACTGCTTCCTCAGTTCGTCGAGCTCTGGCTGTGTCAGTCGGAATTGTCGCTGTACAGTTGGCTGTGCCCCCGGTTCTAACTCTATGAGGTGGTCATGTGCCCGCTGAGGTGGCAGTCCTTCTGGTAAGTCGTCGGGAAAAATCCCCGGGTACTGTTTCAACAGTTCCTGTAGTTCGGGCGGTACCGCTGCCAACAGTTTCTGAAAATCGCTCGGCTGCTCTGCTTCTCCTACCAATGCTATATCCACTGCGTACACGTCAGCTCCAGCGGTGACAGCCCGTTTCATCGTGATGGCGTTGACGTGTACCGTTGAAGACTCAGGCGACTGCCAGCGAGGTAGCTCAACCCAGTTACCGCTACTTCGCACAGTGCAGCTACCCGTCATCCAGTCGATTCGCGGGTTATACCGTCGCAGCCAATCACGTCCCAGTAAAATGTCGTGTCCATCCAGTGTCGTTGCAAGCATTTCCTGTGTAAATCCGAAATTTCCCCCGCAGCGGACTTTGACTCTCTCCACCCTCTCCCGTATGGCCAGTGGCGTGCCGTCAACTAAGCGTGCGTCTATCTCAGGTAAACAACGGCTAAGTGTCAGTTGCAGTTTTCGTGCAGTTGTGGTATTAACTAAACTGTGACTTGCTCCTCCGTCAATAAAAATCTTCACTGCTGCTCCCTGTATTTTCCCGTGGATCAGTACTGGGTAATCCGTCGCTGTACCCTCCTTATTCGTTCGAGCCCGATCGATAGCATGAATCGGTACTGTGACTCGGTGAGGGTCGGTGGGGTTGGGCGAGCAGGTAGTCTCGTCAGTAGTTGGCCCGATTCCTACTGACTGCTGGCGTTTTCCTGCCTTGGAGACTCCCTCCCCTGCTCCGCTCCGCGGCGCCTTAGCTCCTCTGGGCATTCACTCTTGCGATGGCCCGGCCTATTGCAAGCAAAGCAGCGCCCCTTAAACGGCGCGGCAGCTGCATTCGTCGCAACGGCATGTACGGTGGCGTGCTCGATCGGTCCCCGAGGGCGATGTCCGTAGTAGGACCCCGGTCTCGGACGGCGTAAGATGTTGATTTTCTCGGCGAGCGCGAGAGTCTCGTTGAAGTTCGAGAGCCCGCGTAGCATGATCTCGTGCGAGATGTCTGGCTTCAGCCCTCCGACGTAACGGTCCACCCGCTCCGCTTCGTGCATGTAGCCGACTTGCTCGCATAATGCGAGAAAACCACTCGTGTAGTCTTGAACCGACCCGAGCTGCCGCCAAGTACGCAGTCTCTGACGCGCCGAAATAGAAGC